AGAGTTCTTTCTCCCACTCTGGACATTCCACAGATATATAAACCCCACTTGCTTTGTTTCCAACAGACCCCTCAACCCCTGAGGATGCCTGCCATAGATGTGGCTGAAATGTCAGGAGAGAATGCTTCTGGAACATGGCCATACAGCCCGGAAAACTCACAGCAATCCAAGTGCAGAACTCATGGCATTACTAATTGAAATGTACGGTGTCAAATGGGTTTTGAGGAAATAGATTATACACATCATTGAAACTGCTTATGCTTATGTATTTTTTTCCAAAAAGCAACACATTGAGCAAGTCACCTTTAGATAAAGCCAAATGCATGCAACAATCAAGCCTATTTTGAAAAATAAAAATACCTAATGGTAGTCCATAATATGCTATTTCAATGGGATTTGTCAAATGGCCAAATTTCTTCTTCCTGCGTTAGAAAGATAAGAACATGTGTGCATATAGGTGTTCCAATAATTCACAAACAAGCGCCTAAAAAAGTTTACTCTACAGAAAAGCTTTCTTCTCATTATCTTCAATTCCGAGACAATTTATATGTCAATCAATGTGAATGGTATGCACACGTCAATGTGAAAATTCACCACCAGCAGACTATCAACTGCCCAGAAGCCAAGCGCTTTTAAAAATATCTTAAATATTTCTGACAGTTTTCCAGGAACTATCACCCAGAAAAAGAGACACAAAGAAGTATTTTAAAATTCCTGTTTCTGCATCCCTGCAAATTACAAATCTTTACGTCATGGCAGAACTTGGAAGAGTTAGTTTTTTGACTGCTGGCTGAGGAACTTTAGAAAATGTAGTCATTGTCCCCCCTCCCCCCAAAAAAAGAAGAAAAAGTAACTTCCAGAAATTTGTTTTTTTCCCCCAAACTTGAATTAGTTGGGTTGTTGTAGGTTTTTTCAGGCTATATGGCCATGTTCTAGAGGCATTCTCTCCTGACATTTCGCCTGCATCTGTGGCAAGCATCCTCAGAGGTAGTGAGTAATAATAAGTGAATAAGTTGGTTCCTTTAAGGAAATACTGGAGAAGGTGCTTTGCAAATGCTCAAACCATTATCCATTGCACTCAGTATTGTCTATTCGGCTTGGTGACAGTCACTCAGGGTCTCAGTATAGTATCCTTCCTCCCCCCCCCCACACACACTCTCCATACAGGACTTGCTGTCTGAACTTTCTGAAGACAGAAAGAAATCCATAAGCATGTGGACAATTTCAACAGAAAGGAGGAAATCATAAAAATGAAAAAAATCTGGCTACCAGTATTAAAAAAAATTCTAAAACCAGGACAGGAAATAAAGAGGAACACTCAAAACCAGGCGAATTCCTGACAAGAGACAATCAGGGCCAGCTAACACCTTCCAACAAAGGATTCCCCAGGCAGCAACCAGCCAGGTTTTGAAGTTGCAAGGCCATTAAATGCTAATCAAGGTGGCAAATTGCAACATTCACCCTTGCCTCAAGCAGAAAGAGTTCTTTCCCCCACCCTGGACATCCAGAGATATATAAACCTCACTTGCCCAGTTTCCAACAGATCTCACAATCTCTGAGGATGCCTGCCATAGATGTGGGTGAAACATCAGGAGAGAATGCTTCTAGAACATGATCTTACAGCCCGGAAAACTCACAGCAACCCAGTTTCTGAAGATAGATTTGACCATTGAACCACCTCAATTCCCTCAAATGGTTTCTTGCTTGCAATATGGAACTGATGTTTCCAGCAATTAAGAATTGGTGTCTGAGTTTGCTATCCCCCTTTTCCATGCACAATCTCTTTATTCTTCTCTATCATTGTTTCTGTGTCTTTTGTAAGCCTGCAGGCAAGAGCAACCTTGGGTTTGTTTGTGACTTTTTTGAAGCAATCTGGTCTCGAAACTTTTTAGGCTGAAGAGCTGGACAACAATCTAATACAATCTCTTTATTTGTGGGGGGTATGTTCCCAGGTTTCTCATTGATAAGTAAGACATAGTTTTAGAAATGATGTGGAGCAATTATAGGAATGTTTGTTGTTTTTTGAATTCATTTTATTGTGCTTTCACAACTGTCAAATATCCATATCAATTGATTCTGTAATTTCTGCACTATTGATATGTATAAAACACAAACACAATTTATTTATTTATTTATTTATTTATTTATTTACAATATTTACATTCCACCCTTCTCACCCCGCAGGGGACTCAGGGCAGATTACAATGCACATAAACATGGCAAACATTCAGTGCCATTTAGACATACAACATATATAGACAGACACAGAGGCAATTTAACATTCCAGCTTTTTCCGGCTTCATGAGGGTATGCTCGGTTCCGGCCACAGGGGGAGCTGCTGCTTCACCATCCACTTGTGACACTGGGTCCTTTGATGGAGTACTTCCTCATTCTTCTGCATGCTGCTGGAAGGTTTTATGGTGTCATAAATTAGTTAAATTAGCCTAAATTTCCTACTTGACAGATGCAACTTTTTTTCAGGCTGCATAGGTCAACAGCAAGCTAGACTATTAATGGTCAGGAGCTTACTCCAACCTGTGCTGGCTTTGAACTCATGACCTCTCAGTCAGTAGAGATTTAATACAGCTGGTTACAAACTAGCTGTGCCACATTACACCTATCACAATATACAGTTGATTCTCAATTACCTGGAGTTCAAGCAACAAGCAAAGAAACAAGACTACATTCTCAAAGCTGTTTTTATATTGCAGTACAATTGTGTTAACGTAAAGTCAATTTTATCTTCATTTGCTTTTTATTACTATACTAACTTGGATACCCGGCTACATTTATTTAGCATCTACCAATCCCCATGGATGCCAGTTAACTGAGAGTCTATTGTAATGTTTAACATATAATTACATTGACATTACATATATTAATGTTAAACTAAACATATTGAATTTCCAGCTTTATCCGCATTGGCATCTATTGATTGTTTGCGTTCTTTATATTCCGAACTACAACTTGTTGCAATGTATGGTTTAAAATATATGTGTAAATCTAATTAATTCTTCAGACCTTTCAATATCATCTCTTAATCTCCCTCCAGCATAAATTGGAGGAGAGGCTCCCAATCTTTCAAGAAGTTGTCAACTGATTTTTCCCTCATTAACATAGATATCCATCGCTTCTAACAAACAATTTCAATGCCTAGTCCTCAATTGAAAGTGTTTCTTTACACTTCTATCTTTGGGGTGTAAACTAATCTGGCCACTGTTAACATGTATCAAATTGTCCTTTACGAGGATTATCTGGAAAGTAAGGTTACAAGGCACATAGCTCTCTCGGGGAATTTTCTCTGGAGAAGTTGGTATCACTGCCATTTAGCAGGAAGCCAGCAGAAGCAAATGAGCAGTGCCAATTGTCAGTAGCTCATTAACTGGTGTTGTGGTGAAGGTTAGAGATGAGCGTCCTCATTCCGTTTCCCTCCAAGTGCAAAGTTCGCACTGTAATACGTTACCTAAATGCTAAGGGCATGAATGCCACTGCAATTCATCATGAAATCATTTCAGTTTATGGAAAGGATGTAATGTCAAGACAACATGTGACGAAATGGGTACGGAATATATTGTGAGACCATGAAGAAACATCCAAAACAAACATTGTGGGATGCTGATGGCGGGAGTCTGTCTCCTTCATGACAATGCCCGTTTGCACACCGCTCGTGCAACACAAGAGTTGTTGCCTTCATTTGGTTGGGATGTTTTAAGCCACCCCTCTCACAGCTCCTATCTCGCACTCAGTGACTATAATCTGTTCACTAAATTGAAGGAACACCTTGGTGGAAAACACTTTTCCAACGATGACGAGGTGGAAATCAAAGTGACGAACTGGCGGAAAAAGGCGGAGGGAAATTTCAGTGAAACAGGCAACAAAAACTCATCTCATGGATGACAAAAAGTAATGAACTGAATGTTTATTTATTTTATTTATCATGTCAGGGGCAGACCAAACAGTTGCATTGCATTTTTATCAAACAAACAAAACAAACAAACAAAACACAAAATTTGCAAGCTTGGTAGTCGATTATATGTCCTTTGACCAGTAGCTGGCCACTTGGAGTGCCTCTGGTGTTGCTGCAAGAAGGTCCTCCATTGTGCATGTGGCAGGGCTCAGGTTGCATTGCAGCAGGTGGTCTGTAGTTTGCTCTTCTCCATACCCGCATGTTGTGGATTCCATTTTGTAGCCCCATTCCTTAAGGTTGGCTCTGCATCTCGTGGTGCCAGAGCGCAGTCTGTTCAGTGCCTTCCAAGTCGCCCAGTTTTCTGTGTGCCCAGTTTTCTGAATGTTGATTTTGTGGAAAAATAATGTAATACCTATGCTCCAATCCATTTAAGTTTTATTAAAATATATTCATTCTTTGTATTTTTTTTAAAAAATCCTGTAAGCTTACTTTCCAGATAACCCATATAATTTGCTCATCTATCATACTCAATAATAGTAGTTCTGGCTTAACATTTATTTTTGCCTTTATGATTTTCTGTATCATCTCAAGGGTTGATTTCAATATTTCTTTGCTTTTTTACATTATTGTTAGGAACCATTTTTCTACACCTATTTAGATGCATTGCCTTTTTTTTTTGTTCCTTTTGGAATATGGACTATTGGTGAAGCTGGCTAAGGATGATAGGTGCTATTGCAAGCATGGGCAAATTTGGGCCCTCCAGGTGTTTTGGACTTCAACTCCCACAATTCCTAACAGTTTTAGTGGCTGAGGGGGAAAAAGAAGGGGCCTAAGGCTGTTAGGAATTGTGGGAGTTGAAGTCCAAAACATCTGGAGGGCCCAAGTTTGGCCATGTCTGTGCTATAGTCGAACATAACTGAAAGGCACCAGGCTGGAGGAGTCTGAACTCAAGCTTTGGTTCATACCTGGCCTGCAGCTTGGCATACAATATATTGGCAAATTTCCCTGCTCTGTGAGTGTGTGGTGTGCATTCACAAAGCAATGACAGAAGCACTTTAGCTAATGGAACAGCTCTCCGCTTTCGAGTTATAATTTTCAGCTTTGAAATTCTCATCTTGGCAAAACTGAGACAGATTCGACGGAGGATCTGATGCGGAAAGAGCTTGAGCCTGTAATCTAGTTTATTGTACACAGGCAATCTCCATGAGGATAATTAATTGGTATTGTTAATACCATCAGGGTACTATGGCTTAAGCCCATGGATAATTCAAATCTTTCAAGAGGATTTCAAATGGATTGAGGCACCCATATTTCTGTGGAGCAGGTAGGCATTCCTTTGAAATCTGTGTAAGTGGTTCTAACGGGTGTAATTCTAGATTTGAGAAAGAAATCGTGTTTCAGCATCTATTTATATTTGTATTACACCTAGGGTCTGCATTTAGATCTATTTAGATTATATGCTAAATAGCATATTTTATGAAACACCAAAGGGGAAAAATGCCGAGCTGCAAAAGATCAGTCACCCTGAGTGATATGGGATAATGTTATAAATTGGCAGTCCAGAATGCTGAAGTTTATTATGCTTATTAATACTGTTAGATTGGATGTGAAATATGGCTAGTGTGAACAAGCTTTGGAAAACAATTCTTTGGATTGAGGTCTTTTGACTTGTGACTATCCAAATTCTAATCTTTTATCTTTTTCCCTTTCTGGTGATCGTCATCTGGTGATAATTATACCTGGTGCTTATGACTGTAATGCATTTATACCTCCATGTTATATGAAAACCCAATTTTGTTACTTTTGCTGCACCTTTTTTATTTTTTAGCTATTCAGATATTCTAGAAGCAGGGACACACTGGGAAATGACTTTTTGGTCCTTATTGTTCCTTTTCCCATAGGAAAACATTCTAATTTAAATGTTAGGAGATTGTGTCATGGTCTCCATGGAAGATGTGTTCTCCAGTCCAGTATTAATTGATCACAATCTGAGGCCTTAAATTCAATAAACAGTGCTTCCTTGTTGATCAAGCAAGGATGAGGCCTAAGCTGAATCTACACTGTAAAATTAATGCAGTTTGACCCCACTTTAACTACCATGGCTCAATGTGATAGGATCATGGGAATTGTCATTTTACAAGGGCTTCAGCCTTCTCTGTTAAAGCGAGCTGGTGCCATGTTTCTATATCATCGTGCCATGGTAACTAAAATGATGCCAAACTGCATTAATTTTACAGTATAGATTCACTCTTATATTTCCTGATAGTAGTAATCCTCATTATGCCTCCAAAGTAAAAAAAAAGTTAGAATTTTTTTCTGTGTCAGGAGTGACTTGAGAAACTGCAAGTTACTTCTGGTGTGAGAGAATTAGCTATCTGCAAGGACATTGCCCAGGGGATGCCTAGATGGTTTACCATCCTGTGGGAGGCTTCTCTCATGTCCTTGCATGAGAGGCTGGAGCTGACAGACAGGAACTCACGCTGCTCCCCAGATTCGAACAGCCAACCTTTTGGTCAGCAGCAGGGCCGTAGCCAGAAAAAAATTTCGGGGAGGGTTGACAATTTGGGGGGGGGGTTGAAAATTTGGAGGGTTGAAATTTGGGGGGGGGGTTGAAACCTGCCTCCTAGCTCACGCTGAAGCAAAGAGCACAGCAGGGGGCAGAGCAACCTTCAATAGCCTGCAGTTCCACCCCTGCAACTTGGTTGCTTCGCTACATCGGCTATTGCTGCAAGTAATGACAGTGTGAATAAATAGTCAATATTTGCTTGAGATAGTGCTTGCAGTTCTGGAGGGACTCTTAATTTTTTGCATCTCATAGACTTAGCATGGGGATTTGGTTAACCAGTTAAAATTCATGAGTAAACCAGGTTTTTTTTTAAAAAAAATCTGAAACATTTTGGGGGGGGGGTTGAACCCCTAAAACCACCCCCTCGCTACAGGCCTGGTCAGCAGTCCTGTCGGCCCAAGGATTTAACCCATTGCACCACCAGGGGCTCCTTAGGTTACCATTGATGATAGTCAAAAGTTTTAAAGAATGTGTGATAATTATGTCTTTCCAGATGTGCTTGGACATTTAAGCCCCAGTAATTGTAACCAGCACAGCATATCTTGCTCCATCCCAGTTGGGCAGAGACAATCCTGATTAATTCTCTGCTATTCTACTTTTTCAACTGCTTTTCAAACATCCCAGATTCTTTTTCTTCCTCTCACTTTTCCCCTTTGTCTGCTGCTTCTTCCAAGGTGTGAAAATAGTTTGCACTCCTTCAATGCAACAGGGATAAAAAGAGAGAAGGGGACAGAATTTTCCTCTTCCCAAGAGGCTCAGACAAAAGCAAATGTCTGTCGCTTATCCTAGCTTGTATATCCCTTCCAATTAATAACTCTTGGCATTTGGACAAAATAATAATAATAATAATAATAATAATAATAATAATAATAACTACTACTACTGCTACTTTATTCTTATATCCTGCCACCGGGCCCTAATCACTCTGGGAAGAGAGTTCCAGAGCCGGGGGGGGGGGGGGCACCACTGAGAAGGCCCTTTTTGTCGTTCCCGCCAACCATGCTTGTGATGGAGGCGGGAGTGAGAGAAGTGCTTCTCCAGGAGATCTTAAAGCCGGCACAGGTTCATAAGGGAAGATGCAATCGCTAAGATAGGCAGGACCCAAACCGTTTAGGGCTTTGTAGGTGATAACCAGCACCTTGACTTGAGGCCAGAAACTTATCTGAGGTCAATTGGCCACAAGTGTCCATGTTTTATATGTGACTAGCTGTCCCCTGCTACGCGTTGCTGTGGCCCAGTCTGTTGATCTGGAAAATAAAGTAATGAGAAAGTGTTAGTTTCTAATATATGTAATTTCTTTATGCTTGTGGGTAAACAGTATTCCTTGCTGTTTCTTTGTCAGTGTTGATGTGGAGAGTGTCTGGTTTGCCCACCCTTGAAGATGCAATATATCATTGTCTTTCTTGAAGGGTCCCTTTCAAAACTATGGTACTATATCTTTGAGTGTGTGAATCATATCTATCTATCTATCTATCTATCTATCTATCTATCTATCTATCTATCTTTATGGCTGGATGGCTCTTTGTCAGGAGGACTTTGATTACGTTTTCTTGCCTGATGAAAGGAGTTGGATTGAATGGCCTTAAGTATTTTCTGTTGGTCATGGGGGTTCTGTGTGGGAAGTTTGTCCCGATTCTGTTGTTCATGGGGTTCAGAATGCTTTTTGATTGTAGGTGAACTGTGAATCCCAGTCACTACAACTCCCAAATGTCAAGGTCTATTTTCCATAAACTCCGTCTGTGTTCATATTTGGGCGTATTGAGTGCTTGTGCCAAGTTTGGTCCAGATCCATCATTGTTTGAGTCCATAGTGCTCTCTGGATGTAGGTGAACTACAACTCCCAAACTCAAGGTCAATGCCCACCAAACCCTTCCAGTATTTTCTATTGGTCATGGAAGTTCTGTGTGCCAAGTTTGGTTCAATTCCATCGTTGATGGAGTTCAGAATGATCTTTGATTGTAGGTGAACTATAAATCCCAGCAACTACAACTCCCAAATGACAAAATCACAATTTTTGAGTGATGGTCACTCCTTGAGTTGTGAGACGTTTTGTTGCCAAATTTGGTGTGATTTTGTGTATTGGTTCTTTTGTTTTTAAGGTACTCATTACGCACAGAACATATATATATATATATATATATATATATATATATATATATATATGCTGGGAGATATGATGAAGCCAATGCTGAGATTTGCAGATTAAAACTGCAGGAGGGTAACGTGATTCCCACCTCTGTTTTAAGCAGTTCGGTGGCCATGAGTGTAACCGTATTTTCAAAATGTGTGTGTATGTTGTATGTCTTCAAGTTGTTTCCTTTAAGTTGACTCTATCACAAGGTTTTCTTGAAAAGATTTGTATGGGGGCAATTTCTCTTCACCTTCCTCTGAGGCTGAAAAACTCTGATTTCCTTAAGGTCTATGCCTGAGCAGGCATTCAAACCCTGGAGACCAGAATTGTAGTCCAGTGCTTATACTTCTACATCACACTGGTGTTCACTTGCAAAATATCAGAGCTAGCAAGTTTTTCTTGGAGCCAAACTGAAGGGAAAGAAGAAATACTCAAGCATATTGGTGAGAAAAGGGTGTAAACAATTTCTGCAGCACCGTGATATCAATTCTGAATTTGTTCTGTGCAGGTGCTTTTGTTCACAGTCGCTGAAGGAAAATACTTGGACATTATGTATGGGTCTTCACTGACAACAAGAGCCCCATGTTAACCTGAATCAGTGATCACCGGGCTGTGTCAGAGAGGCAACCTTGATTCAAAAGATACATAAGATTCATTAATTTCAGAGTCATTCAGCCTGCCCCCAGTTTCTATAAATCTGATTTCATTACATTATTTATTAAAGTTGGATGAGATCAAGTAGGATCTCTTTCACCCCAACATGACTCTACTTTCCATGCAGATAACACAGCTTATGTCCAATATACAAGTTCAGTTGTGCTGGGTGCCAAGTCAATATTGTATTTCTGGGGAAAAAAACCAGATCTGAGATAAGAATAAATTACAGAATAAATGAATAGATGTGACTTTGCACTGTTGAAACATTTGTCAACCCCATTCCTGTGCATGCTTCTGTTACGTTTTAAATTGGGCCCTCGGGCTCAACCAGTTCTGAAATTATTTTGTACAGTGCTTACTTACAGAATTATAGAATTGTTATAGATGTTTAATAATCATAGTTTAAAAATAGGATCAAAGCATTAAAGGCTCTCTTCTAGTACAGAACAAGCATTGTATCCGCAGGGGATACCTTCCCGGATTAAATGTGGCTATACAGAATCTCAGAAAATAGTGAACCCTATTGAAATATTGTGTTAAACAAACTAGTTTTTGAAATGCATATAATTTCCTCTTTCCATTTCATTTGAAAAAAAATCTATTTATGATTAATGCCTGATTCATAGAAAGCATTGTTTATCATTATTGACTCAGACAAGCAACTGCAGTTATCACATCACACCATAAATCTGTGGGTACAGCCTTCATTCCAGAATCTAAATAGCATGAAATGTATTGCCCATGTCAGGATGTTCAAGATACAGGGGCAAGGGATAATAGCTCTGAGTTTAACAGTTGTGGAGCTGAATTCATATGTGGTTGAATCATTATAAAGTCTATTCTACATGTAAATAATGTATCTAAAACTTTGAGCTGTAAATATCTGGATTCCAGTCCTTATTCACAATAGAGTGCGACAGAACAAAGTGGAACTCACAAATTGTATCTTATCTATAATAAGGAAGTGTATTAATATTTATAATCCAACTGGATTTGACATGAATTGTCAAATTAATGTGGTATTTTTTCCTCAAAAGAAACATCTCCCTGTTGGAACAAAATGTGAACATGTTACTTTACTTTGTTGCTATTAACAAGGATCCATGTTTGGGACACATGTGATTAAGATGGCAAAGCTATTCATGAAGAAGAAATTGTGAGAGAATTCGTCATCTGCAAGGACGTTACCCAGGGGACACCTGGATATTTTGATGTTTTACCATCCTTGTGGGAGGCTTCTCTTATGTTGCCATATGGGGAGCTGGAGCTGGCAGGGAGCTCAACCCGCTCTCCCCGAATTTGAACTGCTGACGTGTTGGTCAGCAATCCTGCCAGCACAAGAGTTTAACCCATTGTGCCACTGAGGGCTTAAATGAATTGTTTTAAAATGCAGCTGAAAAAGTAGGATGATAGAGTATTCAACTGTTCTGCCAAATCAGAACAGTTCATGGATTAGCATAAAGGTTTTAAAAGCCGCATTGTGTGGACAATCTTTGTAATCAATATATCTGTTTTTATTTTGGCAAACTGTAGATGTTCATGATTTCTTCTCTTTCCTCCCCAGCATGGACCAGAGGATGAGACCTGTTTTGTTGTAAACCCTTTGTTCTCTATAGACTTTGGTTTTTACAATGGTAACAGCTTCATTGCGTCATGGAATGACCATTGCCGGTGCCATCCTCCTGGTGACAGGGACGCTTTGTTTTGCTTGGTGGAGTGATGGGGAGATGGAGGCTGCTGCATCTAGCAATGACCTGAAGGTCCTGCCTCTCGGAGAAGCTGAACCAGGGACAAGCTCCTCTTCCTCAAATTCAATGCTGAGGTCCATCAGCTTCTTTTGTTGTGGAATTGGAGGGCTCCTCCTTCTTTTTGGACTCCTGTGGTCAGCCAACGCTGGAATCGTTTCTCGCCACTATCAGTACCATTTTTCCAGGGACCTTCATTACTCTACTGTTAAACCTCTTGAAAAACAGACCTGCAGGTTAGCAAGAACTTTTTGATCCTACTTGGTTGGGATAGTGGGCTGTCTGCAAAGTTGGGCCAGTTAGTATTCTTGTGCTCAAGAGATGAAATGGTGAGAAGAGGGGTTTGTACAAAGACAATTTAGTCAGGAAGCAAGGTGACATGGGACCTCATCCCACCAGTAGGAGGGAAGTGGAGAGAATCCTCTTATCCCATACATCTTCTGGGATGGCCAGCCCTCCCACATCTGGAATCAAGTAATACCCGACTCCTCGCTTTAGGACTTTATTTCTATGGGCTAAGGAAACAGAGCCCCAGAGAATTCTACCAGAGGTGCCGTTATGTCATGTGATGGGCTCCAAGGGGCTCCCATGGGGCTCCGTTCCGAAGTGCATGGAAATGGAACCCTAAAGCTATGTGGCAAAATCCACAATGAAGCAATAAAAACTGGAATACCTTTCTTGGCGTGTACCTTTGAACTGTATAGGGACATCCAAGTGTAAACTCACACAGACCACCTTGCTCCAGGGGAAGCTCTTTTGGAAACCCATAATCTCCAAAACCTTTTGGAGAAAAGGGCATTAACAACCATTTGAAAATCATAACCATTTGTAAAAGTATGATCTTCCAGATAAGAGCCAAAAACTAATTTGAGTGGTATATAACCACATGTACTTATACAGGGCAGTTTTTTTCCAGTTGATAGACTGATAACCTAGTTGTCTGATTTGTTAGGAATAGAGATTATGCGAATGTACAAAATACAGTGGTTCTTCAGTAGTGTTCTTTTCAGTTGCCCCAAAATACATCTACTCTCCCATAAAATATCTTGTTTCTGTATCATGCTCTCAGGAGATAAAAATAAAGTAGACTTCGTTAAAAGTAACATATCTGATTTACTCACAAGTTATGTATCTGTATTCAGCATACAGGTACATAACTTGTCAATCCAGTTACAGATAGGTTTTGAAGTGGTTTCTCTGTGCAGATAACACAGGGCATCTTTCTTACAATCAAACAACAACATATTAACAATCAAGAGAGTCTAATGGAGTCTGTCCTCTAAAATGGAGTCTTAGCTCTGAGCAGTCTCAGATCTGATCATGTGGTCTTTAGCCCCTCCCACAATCTCAAGAAAACATAGAGTAAGGGGAAAGTTGCATACCAGGACATACATATACAATACAGTAAGCAAAACGGAATCACATGCAAGCAGATTACTAGTGGAGGCTTCAAGAAGGTTGCTGTTTCCACCACTAAACAGAGAAACTTGCTTGTTGAGGCACAATTGAGATAAATCTGCATTATACAGTTATTACAGTTTCAAATCACTTTGCCTGCTAAGGCTGCATCTCATGGGATCCTTGGATTTGTAGTGAGAAAGGTAGAACTCCAAGAGGGAACTCTTGCCCACTCTTCTGAATTGCAATTCCAAGATACTCTTCATGAGTTATGTAAAGACAGTGAATGTACAATGGAAATTGAAGTTCTGTGTCCCTGGGCCTTTTGCCTTAAAAATAACATCATCAGATTTGTAAAGCCCCCCAAACAAGATTGTAAAAATCTGTATCTGAACTGTTGGATCCGGCCCTTTGGCCTCCACTATTACTAAGATTTGTATGATGATGCCTCTCAAAGATGCCTTTCACACCAGGAATGAAACCTATAGTTGTAACAATGTTTCAAGGTGAAATCTGTGGTCCTGGTATGTTATTCATTCCCACCCCTAAACACTTCTCCTTGAAAAAGAGGAAGTGAGATGATCAAAGGTTATGGGAGAGTTTTGCCTATACACAAATCATGTTTGCTTACTAGATACAATGGAAAAAAGGAACAGCAGTGTATGATCAGTGACCTGTGAAGTGTACACTTGACTAATGGGGACATAGTCATATTTGATGGTGTATCTTATTATTAAAGTTTAAGCATGCAAAGATCCATGTTGTTCAAATAATACAATAGACTTTGAGACATGCATATTTTAACTATTTCACCATCTTTCATACATTCACTCTATCTAGTTCTAACATATTTAGAGTGCCCCAAAGCTACAAAGGACTTTCAAAAGGCATCTTGTTGCCTATTAACATAGGCTTAAGGGAGCACCAGAGATACAGCCTGTGCTTATCAACATAAAGATAAGCTTTGTGCATTCAATGGGAGTTACTCCCATGTATGTTTTTATTAGATTTCAACTTGAAAGGTGCCTCGTAACATCATATGTGGAATTATTCTTAGGGGTCACATGTAGATTAATCCACTACAACTTTAGTGACCCTATGCTACTAAAAAGTATTTGCAAGCCTTACTTTATAATGAAATATTATTTTAACCTCTTTTCTCTTTGTGTGTTACAAGGCATGCTGTCAGAACACATGTATGAACTCATACATGCTCTGAGTATATATGCCCCTAAAGCAGTGGTTCTCAAGCTGTGGGTCCCTAGCTGTTTTGGCCTTCAACTCCTAGAAATCCTAACAGCTGGTAAACTGGTTGGGATTTCTGGGAATTGTAGGCCAAAACACCTGGGGACCCACAGCTTGAGAACCACTGCCCTAAAGGATCTGGTGACCTTGGTAGTAGGGTGTCTTGGATGAATTGGAGTCAATAAACCAAACTTACACAGAACTATCTGAAAAGGAAATTTGACTGAAAACATACAAATCACAGTGCATACAATAATCGTAGTTTGGCATAACAAATACTATGGTAGCTTTTTGTCAGTGACAAACAGTGCATGCAAAATGCAGCTAATAGAGCACATTTAGGATGGGGAAAAGTGAAATAGATATTGGTTCAAAAAGTAAAGCTATGTACTGTCTAACTCTCTCTCACACACATCCATTGGAGAAAAGGGGGGACATTGAGTAGGCAAAGTACTCCTCAAAGTATAGATTTTAGGGATTACAAAACTTACTTGCTCTCAGTGGACTTTCATGGGCGGTAGCTATGAAGCATTGGACCTCTGGCTGCAGCAGTGAAAGAGGAAAACAGGCAAATCAAGTCAAACCAAGACTGTGATAGAGAGAATAAACAAACCAAATTCTGTGACCAAAATCCCAGTTTATGGGTGGAATCTGAAGGATTGTTTTTAGCTAGATAAGAGCAACATCAAGGCTAAGACAGAAAGCCAGTAAGATGCTCCCAGAAGCCTTCTCCAAGGGACCATCCAGACAGGCCTCAAAACACAGGACCAGTCTCAGTTTTACTAGAGGTGTCCAAATGATGTCTCCTGTAAAAGCAAATTAATGCGGAATATACAAAGGTTTCCATGGTTTATTCTATATTAATTAAGCATCTCATTAGATCCATATCTTTATGAGGTGCTGGGTCTGTGGGGACTGACTTCCAGGATGCATCATGCATTTCCCAGGGGTGAGTCTCCACAGCCATCCTGTTTTTTGTTTTTTTTTTTTGAAAGGCCTGGACAAGTGGGATGGCGCCCACCCCCCACCCCCCCCCCGCCCCCAATTTACCCACTAGAACTTACTGAAAAAGGTCCCTGGCCATCATAGAGTCTCTTGTCCTCATGATGCAAGGAAATTATGTCTGAGGAGATCCCCATCTTGAGCCATGAGGATGCAAGGAGTGGTTCTATGGTAGCCAGGGACCATATTCAGTAAGTTTTAGGGGGTAAATCGGGGGCTTTGGGGTGGCTTCATGCCATCCCAATTTCAATAAGGATAGCATGTAGCCACCCTGGGAGGGAAATCCCGGCATTGTGAGAGGAGTTGGGGACTAGAACCCATGCTGAAGCAGGTTACTTTAACCTGTTTCGATGTGGATTTTTGCGCTGTCTGGAAATGCCCTAAAACTTCTTAACTGAGACTTCAGGTAGACTCCGTTCCATCCAAAGAAACTATCATTACATCTGGAATCTTTTAGAAAGATTTGAGGTGGGTAAATAGGCACCATATCCCACCTGATCCTGGAAACTAATCAGAGTTGTCCCTATTTAGTACTTGGAGGAGAGATCACCAGATGCTTAAAGCTATATATATCAGAAGAACTGGCAAAATCACCTCTGTGTATTGCTTGTGTAAAAAAATATGAAACTCATGGGGTCACCATAGCTTGACAATCAATTTGAAGGCAACACATGGGGTGCAGAAATAAGCCTAGGGTCCAGAGGTTCATCTATAATGGAAGAGACCTTTCAGGCAAATGAGTATCTGGACTTCCTGAGAGAGTTTGCTTTGTCAAAAGAGAATAGAGTCTCAGAGAGGTAAATGCTTAAGAAAGACACCATAGAAATGTTAAATGGGTCACCTTTGCTCCAAAAAGACCGTTTGCAGCATAGCCATTTCCTGTCCAATAATAGTTTGTTTGCTCACTGCAAGAGCCTATCTTAGGAATATGCAGCATTTCAATTATTTAATCAGTAGGCTTTACAACATACCTGATGGTGGTAGATAGCCACAATTCTTTCAGAAATGGGTGCTGTCTTCAGGATAAGAACTGAGAAAATCTCTGTCCCTAGTTAGATAGAGCAATTCATTATATGACATTCATATGTGCATGCACACTCATGTTTTTGCAGGCATTTTGTACAGATGCAGATGACAACAATTGATCATTGTTATTTTTGACTTGATTTTGTTCCAGCACCTGGGAAGCCAGCACTGTTCCCACCTATGAAGAAGCCTTGAATTGCCAGCCTGCTGAAAATGCTCTAAGATACACAGAATCTCTTATTTCGAAGGAAAGCAGCTCCTCATTGTATCAAGTGGTGGATGAAAACAGCACGTGGCATGGAAGCCACAGACACAGTTCCTCTGATAGTATATTGTTCCAGAATATTCTACCAAGGCAAGAGTCGGGATCCTGGGATGAAGCAGGAGTTGTCTGTGACACTCCACCTCCTAGCTATGAGAGTATTGGTTCAAGCGAGAAATGATCCAGAGTCCTTATTCGCTACTTGTTAAGAATCTAAATTGCTTTAACCATGGCCTTTCCCCTCCAGTTAATTAACTGTAGTCAGCTGGTTTAGAAAGGGAGGAAATAACTATTACATTATTACATTTTCATGTTGTTGTTGTAGGAATTGGCTGACAGATTGTTGTTGACAGATTTTGAAAGAGCAGCCACTACATTGCTTTGTCATGCATGGCTATTATGTATGCAGTATTCCTTATGTATTTGGATGCTTTAGAGGACCAATCAAGATAGATGGAAACTTAGATAATTAAAATCTAAGTCAGAACACTCCTTACACAGGTAATACAGAATGCATTAAGGTAACCGGCTTCTGGAAAACAGTGTTCTAAAACCTATTTAATAAAATAATTATCAACTGACAATCATATAGGTATTAAATATACAGGCAGTGCCCAGGTTACGCACAGGGGTCTGTAGGTTTGTTCTTAAGTTGAATGTGTATGTGTGTTAAAACAGGTATGTTTAAAAGTTTAACTTCATCCATACACACACACACAAATAAAATTTTGGATATCATAGGGATGGGTTAACACCCCCAGGTGTTTGTCTTGCAGTCTGTGCCCCTGTTCAGAAGATTTCACCTCACTTTGTGTCCCTGTTACAATTGGATTTTGGCTTGTTGTGGGAATGAAGGATTGGTGATAAATCTTCAGTTGACACACCTTTTCCCCATGATAACACTTTCAGGAGTAAATTTCCCTTTCTAAAGGTGGAATTTTTTCACGTCCTGTTGTCTCACCCCTGTCCTTAACTATGAGTCATTTGTAAGTCGGCCCTCAACTAAAAACATGGAACGTGGAGCTTCATGGCTGCAAAATGGAACTACAGAAACATTTGAAGAACAGAGAATTTTGAAGCTGAAAGTGATTTTTCTTCTTAGTTCTGCCTGCTCAGATGGAGCTCTTTTATTCACTACGATCAAAACTTGGGAAAGCTAGTTTTTGGACTAGAATACAGCCATACTGATTGGGGAATTTTGGGAGCTGTAGTGAAAATAAACTTTCCAGGCATTGCCCTGTCAAGCAAATGGCTATTAGTAAGGACACTTTATCGTATTAGTTTAGACTTTGAATGAGAGAAGTCATTGCATTATTTTGAAAATATCTGATGCTCTTCCAGTACATATTAGCGTTCCTTTCACTGATCAAAACCGGGACACCCATTTACCTTATTTAGGCTAAAAACCTTATTTAGGCTAAAAACCATTAATGTTATTACTATATATATGGCTGATATCATGCTTAGTTTTATCTGCAATGCAATCTCCCAAATGGAGGCAGAATTACTCATCTATAGCAAGCAGATTAATCCATAAAGCAGGGTGAACAACTTGAGACCGTAGGGGTGTGGCTGAAATTCAATTCATGTTTCTTTTGATAACAGGAAGAGTTACAATCCAGCAAGTTTGTGTATTATAGTATGCACAAAAGCAGAATAGAGAAATAAGCAATCTTGCATCATGACATTGAATTACCAACACCTATCTAGGGATGGACATGAGAAGTGGAAAATCCAACAGATCCTGTGAAGTTTCCTGTCCATTGATTGTAAAGGAAAGGGTAGTATGTCAGTAGTTAATAGTTATTAGTAGTTGTTGATTTTATAGGCAAGGAGGGCAACACATTGCCATTACATGTGACAGCCAGCCCATCTGTGCATGTGGTATTGTAGCACAAGAGTTCCGCAAGCCTGCTGATATTTCCCTACTAAAGATGAACATCTTATAAAACTGTCACAGTATATACTGAATCTGTAGCAGTAATGGGGGGGGGGGGGGGAATAAGAGCTGCAACAAAGAAAAAATTGATTACATTGTGACAGCACATTGTTTGATATTGTAACCACCAAGCTACCATGGACATGTGTCACTTCATACCTAATTGATGAGTGTTTGTCTAGTAGATTGCTGACACTTGTTTCTGATTCACGAATCAAAGATAAATGGGACATCAGAGTGAAGGGCATATGATCCATCAACACCTTAAAGATATTTCTTCTTGCTCCCCAGTATGTAAGGCAACTGCCTCATGCTCTCTAGCAAAAGGATGACCTTTGTCCAAAGATCAAAAGTTTCAATTTATTTTCTGTAGTTATATATAAAGTAATGATGGAAAGTATTGAAAATACTGAAAAACAAGTAAAGGCACATTTCTTGAGTTTTAGGAAACCACAATGAAGAGAACCCTGGACTGACAAGAGTCTTCATGACTTGGACGTAATAATATTTTTTTTGCAGACACCAGGAATTTATGTGCACAAAAACCATTTTGTACACAAAAAATACACATTGGATTTTGTATACAATAAGTCCTCAACTACAATATTTTTTGGGGCAAAACCAGGATTTCCTGTCAGGATTTAATATTTCTGTATAGAGAATGCTCTTGGTATAGAAAATGCTGTTTTCTGCACCATTTTGTATGCTTTTATTACATTGCTTATCTTATTTCATTGCTTATCATACTCTCCAATGTATAACTCATGGCTTTATCTTATGAAATCTTGAGATTTATAGTTTGGTGAGCTACTTAGAATTCTCTTTAGACAGCTCTTTTGCACATACCTGACTACAGCAGAGAATTTTAAGTGTGTCTCTAAACTACAAATCCCAGAATTTAATAGCATGGAGCTATGGTAGCTGAAGAAGCACAAAAGAGTTAAATACATATAGTTGGATGCATCTATCTATGGGTATAGAGCAGTGGTTCCCAACCTGTTGTCCGTGGACCACCAGTGGTCCACAAGAACTAAAATATGGTCTGCGGCCTCACTGTTACTACTATGGATAATAACACAGCCCAACGGGGGAAAAATATTTTTCTTGGTGTCTTCGTTTTAGGACTGTTCCTGGGATTATTTGGGGTGTTGATTCAAAAAATTGCATTGGATAGACTGCATCAGCTCTAGATTATTAAATATGGTTTTCTGTTGGCAAGCAGATGGCAACTACTAGATGACATATGTTTTGTATTGAAACTAGAGCTGATGTGGTCTATCCAATGCAATTTTCTGAATCAGCACCCCAAATACCCAAACTGAATCTAAAGTTGACCAAAAACTGATTTATAACCCTTTTGGTGCTAATGTTGGAGAGTGGTCCCTGGTGAAAGTGGTCCCTGGTCAAAAAAAGGCTGGGAAATGAATCACTGGTGAAGAGAGAGTGTATGTTCAGAACACATGCCACATTGGAGAGGACAAGGCCAGCTCTTAGCTAAATGAAAAGCTGTGTTGCAAAAGCAAAGCCAAATACAACAGGAGTCTAATTCATTTTAGAGCATTGATTGTGTTTACGGAAGTAATTAATCCAGCCTCAAAGAGAGGAAAAGGAGCAGAACTTTTATACAGTCAGCCTTCCCCATTTGCGGGGTTTAGGGGTGAAGGATCCCTGAAAAAAATGCAAAACCTACAAGTGACTCCAGGCCTACTGAACATGCATGCTACAGATGAAGATTCTCACATTCCCTTGTCCTCTTTTGCACTGTTGTTCTTTTTAAGGATCAGAAAATGAAGGATGATGGCACTGGGGAAGTTTTTTTGCAGCAGCTATGGCAGGGTTTGGCTGGCAATGGCAGCAGCTCATCCTCTTTCCTTGTTTTCCAAGGAAATGGTAAAACAAGGTCAGCACATATGACATGAACAACCTGTCATGGAAGGGACGGTGTTAAGTACAATGTAAGTGCTGCTTAAACTAGCTAAGTAGCAGCTACATTGCAAACTAAGCAGCAGGTACACATTAGCAAGTACTGGTAATCAGATCCACAGAAGTTAGATCCATGAAATTCAGGAGCTGATGGTATTTGAATTTCTGTGACAACCTAAGAGATGAAAAGGACCATCATATTCTCTTAGGTTTACATTTTGTTTTGTTTCTAGGATTGTTCTGTGGGAGTATTAGGGCTGAGTCAAATGTTTATTTTGAAGTGATAGGAGCCAGCAAGCAATGACTTCATTGCTTCATTTTTACTTGAGAAGTTATTTGTCTCAGGTTTTGCCCACTTGAATGTCTCATTACACATGAAAGGAAACCCTTTAGAATGAACATTTTCACTGACAACATGGTAACTTTGGAGATTTTCACGTGGGAGCAATTTTAGACAAATAGCTCCTCACGGGAAGATGAAATCGTCAAAGTCAGTCATGTGATGACTAAATCCCTTTCCAAACCAACTTATGATTTTTTTTTAAAAGAATGAATTGCTAAGGACATTTCTTTCATGGTGCCTGTAATCTCCAGTTCGTTTCCCACTATTCTCATTCCCTTTAAAAGGATTATCACCTGTAATCTGTTTGCATCTTTTGGGGACCTGGAACTGTCCATGTTTTTGTTCAGATGCTGGCTTAATTGATAGTGAGAGAAAATGGAAACAGGAGATGAACGATTAATACGAAAACCAGATTTGCACAACAAACTGGAAGGCATCCAAGATATGCACCAGTTTGTTGTGTAAATCTGGTTTTTGTATTAATCATTCATCTCTCTTTTTTTCTCTCTCTCTTATCACTTTAGCCAGTATCTGAATGAAAACATGGACAGTTCCGGGTCCTCAAAAGAATCAAACAGATTATCCCAAGGGGTTCTGATGGTGTTGCCTCTGCATCCAGACAAGGACGATCTCCTCCTGGTCCTTTTCACACTTGTTGAATAAGTGGGTAGAATTTTTCTTGACCCATTCTGGGACACAGCAGAATAGAAATTTGTGTGCGTTGAGCACAAAATTTGTGGTTTCTCCCTAGAGTTCACAGGGAATTTTGTAGGATGCAAAAAATATCATTTCAGGCCCTTCCACACAGCTGTATAAAATCCACATTGAACTGGATTATAAGACAGTGTGGACTCCGATATTCCATTTCATAGCAGATATTGTGGATTAACCCTTGATATTTTGGGTTATATGGCTGTATGGAAGGGCTTTCAGTTCTTAAAAAAAACCCCAAAAACTACAAGTACAAATATAACAAATGTTAGCAACATTTGCCCCACTTAGATATAGGGAGGCTATAGTGAACTGCCATTTTTTAAAATGGTAAGGATGTTGTGCTTTTTCCAGTGGTGTAACAGGCACAACTTCCAGATACTTCTAATCTGCATTTCTATAGCTCAGAAAAGAGGCAAG